TACAGCATAGTTTGTTGAAAGAGTTGTCTATAGTTGCTAATTCTATTTTCTAACTTGACATTCTTCCCTCATCAATTCTGGCGGTGTTGCTATCTGGACAATTCTACAGAAACTGTTCTTATCAAGATCACCAGTGATCTCTATATTGCCAAATACAGAGTTTATTGTTTCTTTCATTTTAGCTAGTCAGTGGTGTTGGGTAGTTGATGACTACCTCTTTGAAGGCATTTTTGTCTTGGCTTCTGTGACATCTCTGGTGTTTCTCCTCCTCACAGTCCATTCTTTCATCATTTCTTTTGATAATACTTATTCTTTTTGATATCTAAATGTTGGAGTGCCTCAGGACTTACTTGGTACTGGGACCTAGTTTCTTTTGTAGCTCGTATTTCCCCTAAATTGTATAACCCAATATCGTAGCTTAAAATATAATCTGCAGTACTGATGGGCCTGAACCTGTGTCTTTAGCTTCAGCCTCTCTCTACAATGCCATTCTCATATTCAACTGTCTACTTTATAGCTCTTTTTAGATATCAAGTAGACATTTCAACTTTACATATAAAACAGAATTCTTTCCCTTCCCTTGTGTTCTGTTTTCTCCCCAGTCTTCCTCATCTAAGCAAACAGTATGCACCAGTTCCTCAAATTAAAAAGTTAAGTATTATCCTTGATAATATCCTAACTGCCTCATCTCATCCAATTAATCAGTAAGTCTTATAGATGCCATCTGCACAGTATATCCCCAATTCCTCAATTTCATTGACCGTTCATATCTATCATCCTACAATCTTCTCTCGACAGGAATATTATAACAACCTCCTAACAGGTCTCTATTTTCACTCGTCTTTCTCCAGTAATCAATTCTAGCTTAGTAGCTGGAATTATTTTTTAAACATATAAAATAGATTTACATCTTTTATTTAAATAGATTTAAATAGATTTACATCTTTTATTTAAAACTCTGTATTTAAAACCTTCCCACCACAAGGAACAGCATGATATTGGCATAAAAACAGACATACAGATCAATGGAACGGAATAGAAAACTTAGAAACAAATCTACACACCTACAGTGAACTCATTTTTGACATAGGTGCCAAGAACATACACTGGGGGAAAGATAGTCTCTTCAATAAATGTTGCTGGAAAAACTGGATATCCATATGCAGGAGAATAAAAATAGACCCCTATCTAACACCATATACAAAAATCAAATCAAAATAGATTAACGACTTAAATCTATGACCTCAGCCTATGAAACTACTACAGAAAACATTGGAAAAACTCTCCAAGACATCAGTCTGGGCAACGACTTCTTGAGTAATACCACACAAGCACAGATAACCAAAGCAAAAATGGACAAATGGGATCACATCAAGTTAAAAACCTTCTGCACAGCAAAGGAAACAGTCAATAAAGTGAAGAGACAACCCCCAGGATGGGAGAAAATATTTGCAAACTACCCATCTGACAAGAGATTAATAACCAGAATATATAAGGAGCTCAAACACCCCTGTAGGAAAAAATCTAGTAATCTAATTTAAAATGGACAAAAGATTTGAATGGACATTTCTTGAAAGAAGACATACAAATGGCAATCAGACATAGGAAAAGGTACTCAACGTCATTGATCAGAATTTCTCCGCTGATCAAAACTACAATGAGATATCACCTCACCCCAGTTAAAATGACTTTTATCCAAAAGACAGGCAACAACAAATGCTGGCGAGGATGTGGAGAAAAGAGAACCCTTGTTTACTGTTGGTGGGAATGTAAATTAGGACAACCACTATGGAGAACAATTTGGAAGTTCCTCAAAAAACTAAAAATAGAGCTACCATATGATCCAGCAATCCCACTGCTAGATATATACTCAAAAGAACGGAAATCAGTATATCAAAGTATATCTGTACTCCCATGTTTCCTGCAGCACTATTCACAGTAGTCAAGATTTGGAAGCAACCTACGTGTCCATCAACAGATGAACAGATAAAGAAAATGTGGTACATATACACAGTGGAGTATCCTTCAGGTATAATACAGAAGGAGAGCCTATCATTTGCAACAACATGGATAGAACTGGAGGTCATTATGTTAACTGAAATAAGCCAGGCACGGAAAGACAAACATCACATATTCTCACTTATTTGTGGAATCTGAAAATGAAAACAATGGAATCCATGGAGATGAGAGTAGAAGGATGGTTTATGAGAGGCTGGTAGGGTAGAAGCTGGGGATCATGGGGGAGGTGGAGATGGTTAATGGGTACAAAAAAAATTGAATAAGGCCTAGTATTTGGTAGCACAGTAGTGTGACTATAGTCAATAATGATTTAACTATACATTTAAAAATAACTAAAAGACTTGATTCAATTAATTCACTTCAGAGGAACAAAAAAAAATCCACTAAATATAATTGGATTATTTGTAACACAAAGGATTAATGCTTGAGAAGATGGATACCCCATCTTCCATGATGTGATTATTACGTATTACATCCCTGTATCAAAACATCTCATGTACCCCATAAATACACCTACTGTGTACCCACAAAAATTAAAAATTAAAAAACCCAAGCCTTCCTGTTGCACTTTGAATAAATTCAGATTTCTTATCGTGACTCAAGATGACCTGATTTCTGCTTATCACTCTGACATTATTGATACATTATTTTTACCCATTGTGCTGCAAATCACATTGGCTTTCTTTCAGGTCCTCAAACAAGCAAAATTTGCTAACCACCTCAGGACCTTTGTCCTAGCTATTCCTTCTGCTTGGATATTTCTTTCTTTCTGATCCTCCCGTGTCTGGATACTTTTTGCATTCAGTTGTTAGCAAAAAATGTCACCTCTGGGAGAGTATTCTTGACATTGAAATTAAAGTAGCAACTAGGTTACATTAATTTATTGTCATGTTGTTGTATATCATTACCTGATTTTTTTTTTCGTTTTATTAGAACTTTTTTTTTAACTTTTAAGTGCAGGGGTACATGTGCAGGTTTGTTATATAGGTAAACATGATACTGGGGTTTGTTATATATATTATTTCATCACCCATGTATTAAGCCTTGCACTCATTAGTGATTTTTCCTGATTGTCTTCCTCTTCCAAGCCTACATCCTCCAATAGGCCTCAGTATGTGTTGCTCCCCTCTTATCCATGTGTTCTTATCATTTAGCTCCCACTTATAAATGAGAACTTGTGATGTTTGATTTTCTGTTCCTGCATTAGTTTGCTAAGGTTAATGGCCTCCAGCTCCATCCATGTCCTGTAAAGGACATGTTCTCGTTTTTTTTATGGCTATATAGTTTCCCATGACAACCTGATACTTTCTTATGTATTTGTTTCTATGTTTATTCCTGTCTCCCTTTACTAGAGTGTAATTTCCATGAGAGTAAGGACCTTGCCTATTTTATTTAACTGCTGTTATTTTCACTACCCAGAACAATGTCTGGAATAAAATAGGCATTCCAACACTTATCAAATGTATGATTGTGTGTATATATATCAATGAATTATATTTATATATGTTCTAGTAATTCTTTTTTGTGTTAATATGTAACACTTTAATTTCTTTATTAGGTTGTTTTGCATTTTCTTTTATGTATATTTGGGATAAGTACCTAAGACATGGCTGTTAGTCGAAGAGACATTAGCTAAGTAAAGCAGTGTGAAACCATAAAACAAGTGGGAAATCATATGTATGTTTGTTTCTTCTGAATAAAAGCTTTCATTTTAGTTATTTAATGTTTATTTTACAATATGAGACATGCATGCCTTTCAAAAGGTATCTTAATTAATCCACATTCATGTCCTAAGAATGTCAATGCAAGACAATAATGATGATGGTCTTGCTCTGTTGAAATAGTACGTATAAGGATGATACTGGCTGACAAAATTGTTTTATTTCAGTTGGTTAGAAGCAAACTCTGAATATCTCGTAGAAAGAGGTTATGAATCATCTTGTAAAATATGGAGTGGAAATGAAATGCTCTTAAATTTGCACAAAATGGGCATCACCACTGCTACCTTTCCCATTTTGCAGGTAAGATTTTTTTTTCACCTGTGCAATTTATTTAGTGAGTTAGAAGTGATTTAGTCATGACTAAATCCAGTTAAAATCTAGTGAGTAACCCAAAAATTTTAAATATAGCAATTTAATTTTTTAAAATTTTATTTTATTATCTACATTTAATCATCTTTAAGTGATGGCGTGGGTAAATTGTGGGTGAAATATAGCATTACTTAGTCTGAAGGAAATTGTCTTTAAAGGGATTAATTGCTTTAAAGCTAAAAGGAGTCAATGTTTTTAGGTTGTAGATTTACTTAGTCAATTGTAAAAGTTAAAATTTTAGAAAATAAAAAGAGAAGAAATTCCTATTTTGTTCATCTTAATTTAGAAATTATAAACCTGATATTAATGGAGAGATCATGACTAGGCTTTGGAAGACTATGAACCTTATGAAGCTATATGCAACATTTTATGAGTATGTATTTTTGTACATTTTTCTAAATAGAGGCTGCATAAATTTCATTATATTCTCTAGTGTTTTTTGCAAATAAAAATGTTTTTGTTCCTATTTACTTATTTAAATTAATAGATTATATATTTTAGAATGATTATTTTAGGTTTAGAGAAAAATTGAGCAGAAGATCCAGAATTCTCATATATTCCTACTCCCAGCCACACACCTATACACATACACAATACACACCCACTCCACAGTTTCCCCATTATTGATCTCTTACAATAGTATAGTACATTTGTTATAATTGATGAACCATTATTGGTATATTACGGTTCATTAAAGTCCATAGTTTACCTTAGGGCTTACTCCTTGTGTTGGAGAGTTCAGTTAGGTTTTGCCTAGGAATCTACCATTTACAGTATCATACAGAGTGTGTTCACTGTCCTAAAAATCTTCTGTGTTACACCTATTCATATTTCCACCACACCATGCCTGCACCCACCAAACCCTTATCAACCACAGATTTTTTTTTACTAACTCCATTGTTTTGCCTTTTCCAGAATGCCATATAGTTTAAATTGTGCAGTATGTAGTCTTTTCAGACTGGCTTCTTTAACTTAGCAATATGCATTTAAGATTCTTTTATGGTTTTTTTTTTTTTTTGCCTTGATAGCTCATTTCTTCTTATAGCTGAATAATATTTCGTTATCTGGATGTACTACAGTTTATTTATCCATTCACCTACTGAAGGACACATTGATGGTTTCCAGTTTTTGGCAATTGTGAATAAAGCCGTTATAAACATTTCTGTTAGTGACATGCGTTCTACTCATTTGGATAAATACTTAGGAAAACAATTGTTGTATTATATTGTAAGACTGTGGTTAGCTTTGCAAGAAACTACTAAACAGTCTTCAAAGTGGCTGTACCTGCCGGGTATGGTGGCATGTGCCCGTAGTCTCAGCTACTTGGGAGGCTGAGGCAGGAAGATTGCTTGAACCCAGGAATTTGAGGCTGCAGTGCACTGTAATTGCATGCTTGTGAATAGCCACTGCTCTCCAGCCTGGGCAACATAGCAAGACTTTGTCTCTTGACAAAAAGTGGTTGTACCATTTTGCATTCCCACCAGCAATGAACGAAAAGTTCCTGTTGTTCTACATCTTTACTAGTGTTTGGTGTCTGTGTTTTGAATTTTAATCATTCTAATAGATGTGTAGTGTATCTTATTGTTTTAATTTATAATTTCCTGAAGACGTGATGTTGAGCATCTTTTCATATGCTTATTTGCTGTTGCCGTAACTTCTTGGTGACATGTCTGTTCATACTTTTTGCCCATTTTTCAATTGGATTTTTTGTTGTTGTTGAGTTTTAAGGGTTCTTTGTATAGTTTGAATATAAGTCCTTCCTCAGAAAGGTGTTTGCAAATAAGACAGTCTGTGACTTTTCTGTTCATTCTGTTGATATGGTGCCTTTTGCAAAGCAGTTTTTTTTTTTTGTTTTTTTTTTTTTTTGGATACGGGGTTTTTTTTTTTTTTTTTTTTTTTTTTTTGGGAGACGGAGTTTCGCTCTTGTTACCCAGGCTGGAGTGCAATGGCGCGATCTCGGCTCACCGCAACCTCCGCCTCCTGGGTTCAAGCAATTCTCCTGCCTCAGCCTCCTGAGTAGCTGGGACTACAGGCATGCGCCACCATGCCCAGCTAATTTTTTGTATTTTTAGTAGAGATGGGGTTTCACCATGTTGACCAGGATGGTCTCGATCTCTTGACCTCGTGATCCACCCGCCTCGGCCTCCCAAAGTGCTGGGATTACAGGCTTGAGCCACCGCGCCCGGCCCTGCAAAGCAGTTTTTAACTTTCATGAAGTTCAGCATATTAAATTTTTTTTTCTTTTATGGGTCATGCTTTAGGTGTTATATCTAAAAACTCATCCCAAACTCATGATCACCTGGATTTTTTCCTATCTTCTGGAAGTTTTATAGTTTTGCATTTTACATATAAATCTGTGATTAATTTTGAGTTAATTTTTGTGAAAGATGTAAGGTCTGTGTCTAGAGTCATGTTTTATTTGCATTTGGATTTGCAATTATTCCAGCACCATTTGTTGAAAAAACTACCCTTTCTCCATTGGATTATCTTTTTGTTCCTTTGTCAAAGGCCTGACTGTATTTGTGATGTCTTTCTGGGCCATCTATTTTGTTCCATTGAACCTTTTGTCTGTTCCTTTACCAATACTACATTGTCTTAATTACTGTAACTTTATAATCAGACTTGAAGTTGGGTAGTATCATTTCTCTGACTATTCTTCAATGTTGTGTTTAGTGTAATCTGGGTCCTTTGTGATTCCATATAAATTTTAGGATTTTTTTAATTTCTGTGAAGAATACCATCTTTCCATTTTTTGTGTCCTCTTTCATCATCATTTTATAGTTTTTGTTGTAGAGATCTTTTACTTCTTTGGTTAATTCCTAGGTATTCAGTTAACCTGTGGGATTTTGATTGGGATTATGTTGAATCTGTAGATGAAGTTGAGAGAACTGGCATCTTAACAATGAGTCCTCTTATTCATGAACAGGGAATATCTCTCCAGTTAATTAGATCTTTGATTTCTTTCTTCCATGTATTGTAGTCACCATCAGAGAGTTTCAAAGACGTTTTCCCCCCTACAATTATGGAGGTATGATTGACAAATAAAAATTGTATATATTTAAGGTATACAATGTAATAATTTGATATATGTATGAAATGATTACACAGTCAAGGTAATAAACATATCCATCATTTCACACCCTTTTCTTTGTGTGGGTGTCGGTGTGGGTGTGTGTAGTATGTGGTGAGAACACTTAAGATTTGCTCTCAGCAAATTTCAAGTATACATTATTACTATTATTATTATCTGAGATGGAATCTTGCTCAGTTACCCAGGCTGGGGTGCAGTAGCGCGATCTCAGCTCACTGCAACCTCTACCTCCCGGATTCAAGTGATTCTCATGCCTCAGCCTCCTGAGTAGCTGGGATTACAAGTAAGCACCACCACACCCGGCTAATTTTTCTATATATGTATATTTAGTAGAGACAGGGTTTTACCATGTTGACCAGGCTGATGTTGAACTCCTAACCTCAAGTGATCCCACCTGCCTTTGCGCCTCCCAAAGTGCTAGGATTACAGGCATAAGCCACCATGCCTGGCCTCAAGTATACATCATTATTAATTATAATCATCACATTGTACATTAGATCTACAGAACTTAGTCATTTTATAACTAAAAGTTTGTATCTTTTGGCCAAAATCTCTCCATTTCCCTGGTCCCCAGCCCCTGGTAACTTTGGGGCTTAGGACTCTGCTTCTACGAGTACAACTTATTTAGATTACACATATGAGTGATAGCATGCAGTATTTGTCTATCTGACTTATTTCAGATAGCGTAATTACTTCCAGTTTCATCCATGTTGCAAATGGCAAAATTTTCTTTGTTAAGACTGAATAATATTTCATTTTTTATATATGTGCCACATTTTCTTTATTTCATTACTTACTCACTATATTCTCACTTTACCCTATGGGAAGAATTCTGGGCTAATGGCTGCTCTCTTGGCACTGAGCTGTACTTCCATGGGGCAGGGGTGATGTAGGTAATATGAAGCTATGCTTATTGGCCTCTTCAGTGCATCTGTTCTTGGATTTTTTGCTCCAGTGGGGTCCTAGAACTTCTCTGCTGGACTCCTAGACTCTTAACAAAGGTACTTTCATATGTGAGTAGTTGTCAGAATTGGTTCATTGTTGGGAGATGACAATGGAAAACTCAAATT